TTGACACCGATATATTGAGAGCACGAAACCCTATTTTTAGAGACAATGGGACACTGATCATTTTAGAGGATGCACTTGAGCCTAAGGAGTCTGGCTAAGGAACACACAAGAGTACCATTAGGGGCTGTGAGGTCTCACAGGCTTCAGATTTTCTTTCTCAGACCAAAGCAACTTGCATCCAAATTTCTTTGAAAGTTGGTTGAATTGTTGTGATTGGGTTTTGTTTATTTTAGTTTTTGATTTTTTAAAAAATCTAATCTCTGATTCAACTGTGCTCCTAAGATATCTCTTTGAGTTCTTGTTCCTCTTTGGCCCCTCCTGGCTTGGTACCAGCCTTGTTGCCCACTCCAAGTGTCAGGGCCTTGGGTGTAGCAGTCTTGGGTCCTCTGGAATTTCCATCTTCTGTAAGTTAAGCTGCCTCTTTTCTTCACAACTCTACCATTAACAAAAGACAATACAAAAGACTTTTTTACCTTCCATTTTTCCAGCTGGCTTAGAATAGCAAGGTTTTGGATTCCATTCCATCTAATTTAGGGAAGAGCCTCCGTGGGCACTTTTTTCTAAAAAAGAGAAGCTCAATTTTCAGTAATGTGAGCCTAAAGATTTATAAAATAGATTTATATTAAATTATGTTAATAGACGCCTAGTAAATGCACCAATTAATTGCATGGAAAAAAATGTTCCCTTTTAAAAGGTCTGTCACCTTAACAGGTACATTCAAAGATTCCCTGTGAATAATGAAAAAAGGAACAATTGCTTTCACGCACTGAGCTGCATTCATCGTCTAGGACAGCTTTGGCTGTGTTTGGAGAAGATGGGAGGAGCTCCTTTTAGAGAAGCGATTGCTCCTTTAAACTCAATTGCCTCCAGCTAGTGGGTTCTATTGGAAGTGTGCTTTTCCCTCTCTCATCCCGAAGGCTGGTCTAGAGGTCCTGCCCCAGAGCTCTCCTCCTTCACTCCTCAGTGTTCAACTGGTTTCTTTCTCCTTGCCCCAACCCAACTCTGAGTATATTCCCACCTCCCTCAAAGAAAATCACTCAAGGAGTTTACATAAGATGAGTGGAACCTGCAAGAAGGTACTAGTAGGAAACAAAGGAGGCAAAACCTGGTGAAAATTACTCCTCTCTTTCCACCCATGAGACAACCACCAATTGGTGTTCCCTTCCTTTCTCTTCTCTTCCCTTCTCTATCTCCTTCCCCTGCCCCCCACATTATGCACACTGTTGGCCATGTTACTACTTTCGGTAGAACAACCACAACCACCTTTTTGGCAATTGTCTGACCAGTCAAAGTAGCCCAAGCAAACTGCATTATCCTGATCAGATATAATTGGGTAGAGTGGTGGGGGTGAGGAGAGGAAAGAGGAGACCAGAAATGTAACATTTCATATCCCCAAGATTTTTTTTCTCCTAAAGTCCTTGATATCTTTTTTTTGGGAGGGGAAGGGGAAGATAGGAGAGAACTGAGCTATCATGACCACTTCAAATGTTCAGAATAAAAACCCCAAAAGGGAGAGGTCTGCTGCACCATAGTTTCCATCACTGGGCCCATGGACACCCCAAGAATGGGCCACTTCAAATGTTCAGAATAAAAACCCCAAAAGGCAGAGGTCTGCTGCACCACAGTTTCCATCACTGGGCCCATGGACACCCCAAGAATGGGCTGCTTGGTCCCTTCTGCCTTTGGCATGGTTTACAATTGAGAAGTCTTGCCTGGGGCCACCATCCCTGTCAGACCCTTGGCCTTGGGCGTGTGTTGGTCATTGAGTGGGAGGGTGAAGGGGAAAGGTCTCTGCTTGCCCTCAGGGCTCTGAATGTCTGGGCTGGGCCAGGGCACTGGGGTGAGAGGTCATCCTTCCTGCCCTTCACTACAGCCCCAGCTGCCATGGGACTTGTTCACCACACTAATGCAATCGTCCTGCTGCTCATTCCTTCTCTCTTAGTGATCTGGTTTCTAATTCTTACTTTCATTTCTCTTCCTTTTATGTGTTTATCAGCCTCTAGGAGGTCATGCTTTAAGTGAAGAACATTCTACTTCTGTTTTTTTCAGGTAGGGCATATGGAAAGCTAGATTCCAAGGTTTTCTACGTAGTCATTATCCAGGGTGACCCCACACATCTTAAACCTTACTGTTTAATAGACCCGGGAAGTAATCCTTAGAGTGTCTGATCTTAACAGTCTGATCCTGCTTAGCAGAATATTTGTGTGTCTGAGTTTGTGTGCCAGTGTTGCCTTAAAATGCTGTTAACCTAACGTGAAACTGTAGGCCTTTAAAATCAGACAGATTACAGAATCCCAAAGCCTTATTCTGATTTATAAACTTCAAAAACATCAATTGACTTTTCTGGAGGGAAGGGTGGGGGAGGATGTAAAATCCATGCTAGTACAGTAGGAAAACTCCTGCTCTGTTCCGAAAGTGAAAAAAAAGCCCTCTCTGTATCGAACGTCCTAGAAGGACCTCTCTGAGAACTGGGGAGAACCTCGCTTTATTCGGAGAAAATCCAACGTGGAGATGAGTGTGTTTGCCTGAATTTTTTTGCCTGCGGAGAGGGATGTTACTCCTTTCCCCGTTCCTTAGTGAATTTCCCCGAAGATCCGAGCAAGAGGAGTTGAACCCATTCCCCGCAGCCCGAAATCAGCCGAGCAGAGCTGGTGCCACAGGTCCCTCTCTCCCGGCAAGAGAGCAGCGCGCTCCGCTCCAGGTGTGGCAAGTACGTGACACTGTGCGCTCTGGGCGTAGGGCCGGGAATCGTGAGGCCCAGCAAGGCCAGGGGCTCGGGTTCAGACTGGTCGTGGACTTGAGGGAGGCCCAGACCCGAGTGTGGGGCCCGGAAGGGGGATGGGGTCTGTCCGGAGTGTGCTCGGAAAGAAGACCAAAGGGTCTTCCCACAGCTCAGATGAGGCTTTGCTTTGGCTGGATCGCGGAGAGCGGCAGCAGGGTTCTTTGTCCATGTTACTTCCTGCGAAGGAATTGCTCTCCTTAAATACGGTTATTTGCGCTTGCAGACGCCCTTCCTCCCATCCCAATACCCGGAGAGGCCTCCTGGGGAAGATGGATCTGAGACAAGATCTTTAGCAAAGGCCGCGAGCCTAAGCCTCCTCCCCTTCGCTGTGGGCAGGGTCTCCGAAGGCGAGAGTCTTGGGGACCTTGATCCAGGCGTGAGCCTCCCAGGCCCTGGCAAGAAGGAGCCAGCTCCTAGAACCCCACCCCCAACCCCCAGCCCATACAGGACCAGGTCCAGCTCTCCACTGTGGGTTCCCTCTTCCCCTTGGAGTCCAGAACTGCCGAGTGTGTGTGTGTGTGTGTGTGTGTGTGTGTGAGAGAGAGAGAGAGAGAGAGAGAGAGAGAGAGAGAGAGAGAGAGAGAGAGAGAGACAGAGAGAGAGAGAGACAGAGAGAGAGAGAGAGAGAGAGAGAAATGATCAGGGAAACTGTGGTCATATCTCCTTTCTTCTCCTTCCTAAGGCTCCCAGTTTTAGAGTCCCAGCTGCCGGTGGTGAGGTTATATCAGACCTACAGAAGTTGTCTGTGTTCGGCAAACAATTACTGTGGGTGGAACCTCTTGGGTGACATCAGAAACCAAACCACTGGGTGCTAGTGGGACTCACATCTCCTAAGTTCCCCCTTCACTTCTCTGGTAGATAACAGGCCCAGGACACAGGCAGATAGGGCCTGAATGCCCTGCTGAGGGAAGTACTAAATACCTGTTTGCAGAAATGAACTCTTCTAACCAAGAGAGGGGAGCAATAAGGTTAAAGGTCGACCAGGAAAGAACCAACAACAATAAACAGACAACTCTCACCCCCCACACACACACAAGGGTCTGAAGGCATCTTTGGGCTGTTGTGGAAATGTGAGATGCTAAATTTTTAGAGAGTATTCCCCTGCCCCCCCTATTTTCTCAGCATTGAAGGGAACCAACTAATTCTTGACTTAAATAAGCCACCTGGAATATTAATGTTTCTAGTCCTTTGGTGACATCATTTGTGCTTGCCTCTGACCGAATGGGTTGTTGCTCTTCCAAAAACTATTCTGACAGGCAAATTCCTTCACATAATTCAGGTTTTAGCACTGAAAAAGAGGACGAAAAAGAAAGGAGGGAAAGGGCCATGAAAATAAATACTAGTAGGGGACTTTTCTCCTTTCTTTGCTAAATAAAAGGTTTACCTGTCATTAATTGTCAATGTCACTCTGAGTGGAGTTACTTGTTCTAGCAATTGTAAGGAGGTCATCTGTTTTGAGGAAGAGGGTGTACCACTTGGTACTTCTTGTCGGAAGTTTATGTTACATAGAAAACCTATAAAAAAGCCACCAGGGTCCCTCAGCCAAGAGACCCAAGTTACCCAACCTTCAGCTAACATTTTCCTCTAAGTCCTCAATTTTGTTTCATTTTTTTCTGTCCATGACTTTCTCTAGACAGTAGGACAGAGGGAAGAGAAGATGGGGAGAGCAAATATCACAAATACTGATTTTGTTTCATTTATTTAAATAAATATAAATATAAATTTTATATAAAACTATTCACATACAAAGGAACTGCCAGGGAATTGGATTTTAAAACTCTCCTCAGGCAAATTTTCAGAAAGCAAGACTATAGGGTTTTATTTTCTAAATCATTTGCAACTTCAATAATTTCCTTTGAAGACAACAACAAAAACAAAAATAATGAAGAAACCCCGTGTTCTTATTAGGTTCTGAAAGACAGGGATACATAGGGAAATGACAAACACCTTCAAAAAACCCCATATGGTGTTAAATTAAAACAACCCTGTTTCTCCTGTTATATGATGAGACTGAGTTAAATTCTATATTATTTACATTTTAAAAATCTACAACTCCGAGCGGAGCCCCAAATAAACAGCCAAGAAGGTGGTGCTCAGGATGGGACCTATCTTTGAACTCCCCAGGACTTCTCCACCAGTTCCTTCTCCACGTGGGACGAAGGCGATGGTCGAGAATTTGGCCCCTGGTACCCTCTGGGTTGGCCTTGAGGGGGCTGCCAGGAGCTGGCAGTGTGAGGGGGTGGTCCTCCTCATAAGGGAGAAATCTCCTTGTCGTCGTTAGCAGAGGCTGGAGACAAGGAGTCCTCATCCTCTGAGCGCGCATAGTGCGCCTGGCTACCGACGCACTTGCAGCTCGCGTGACTGTTCCTCTGCGTGCCCTTCCCCTCCTTCTTGTGCTTCACGCGGCGGTTCTGAAACCAGATTTTCACCTGCTTCTCTGATAGGTTCAGGTACGTAGCGATTTCGATCCTCCGCAGCCGAGACAGGTACATGTTGGAGGAGAATTCCCGCTCCAGCTCCAGAAGCTGCGTGCTGGTGAACGCCGTTCTCATCCTCTTGCCATTGGGTACCTGACTGGCGTCGGAGCCTCCTGTGGACCGGCCAAGAGAGCGCACAGAGTAAGGCTCCGGCTAAGCGTGCAACCCCACATGCCATCTCTTAGAAAGGACCTCTCGAGGACCCAGCCCTTCCAAACATCTGCACTCATTCCTCACTTTTCCCCAATTCACCGTCGTTGCTTTCAGGGAAGGAGAAATACGCTCAAAGCTTGTTAAAAGGCCTTTCATGCGTACAGAGTTAGAGGGTGAAAAGGGGTGAGAACTTGCACTTGTGTGATGTGCCCCTTCCAGCCTAGCGGAGTGGCACGCAGCCTTAGCCAAAAACACAGAAACGCTTTGGCCAGCCCAGACGCCGGGTTGCCACACTTAGGTTCAAGCACACCCGCCCCAAACCTCAGCCAATTAACCTCGGGCTTCCCCACAGTCATGTTCGAGGTCCTAAAGGCCCCGACAATTACGCGACACTTGTGCACCTGTGGAGTGAAGCGCACAAGACTGCATGGGGAGTTTGGCAAGCTAATATCCACGTTCGTGGCACTTCTGGGGACGATTCCACAATTACACTAAAAGCCCCTCCTCCCTCCCACCCCGCCCCCAGGCTCCCACTCTCCTCCACTGGAGGCGGAAAGTTTGCTCCCAGAAGCGCAAAAAGGCGCGGCTCCCTGTTACCCAGAGACCCCGCCCTACCCATGGTGAGGCAGTGGAATCTCCGCGGGTCCGCCACGTTATAGGTGGTGGCGGTACAGACAGGTGCGTGGTGCTGTGGGTGCCCCAAGGCAGCTGCGGCCGCCGCGGCTGCCGCTGCAGCCGCTGCTGCAGCAGCCGAACCCGGTTGCTGGGGCTGGTGGTGATGGTGGTGGTGCTGAGGCGGGTGGTGGTGATGGTGCGCGTGGCTCACCCGCGGGCAAAACTGCGGGTCCCCAGGACCGGAAGAGAATTGGCTCTTAAGCAGAGGCAGGGCCCCGGTGCCTCCTGCCGCCCCGCCGCCCCCGACCCCTGTACCCCCGGCTCCGGCGCCCCCGCCACCAGCGCCCGCGGGTGCGCGCGAGGAATGCAGGTGCGAAGTGACGCAGAGCGGGCACACGCAGAAAGCGCCGCTTTTGCGGGACGGGCAGCCGGGCCCGGACACCGACATCACCAGCGGGGAAGGCATGCCAAGTGGGATGAAGAAATCCGGCCCAGGATGCGGTTCAGGAAGCGAGGGTGCGGGCCGTGAGGAGTCCTTGATGATGAGCGAGTCGACATAGAAGGAGCGAGACATGTCGGAGGGACTGGTGGCTGAAGGGTCAGGCCGGCCGCGGCGCCCCCTCCCCTCTTGGGTTCTGAGCTCTGCCGCGGTAGCAGCGCGGACGCGGGGAGTCAACCCTTGGGGGATGCGGAGGTGTCGGTGTCTGGGACACAAACAAAGGGGTCCCTGGAGAGGGCTGGTCCTCACGTCCCCCGCCCGGCGCCCCGGCACTGGGATTTTATAGCCCCCACCCGGCACGTGATGTTGCAGAGTACCGCTCGGCTCCGGCTCCTCCGCAGCTCCCCACCCTCGGGATAGGCTGCCCGAGTCACAACAGAAGCGGCGAGGAGGGGCGGGCGCGCGGCGGGGAAGAATGCGGGGGAGGGGAAGGAGGAGACTTTGCAAAGTGTAGGTTTTGTTAATTTTCCGTGGAAGCCGGCCACCTCCTCCTCTTTCTTAACGCTTTCCAGAGAAATCACAATCTCTGCATCCTCTATCCCTACCCCTCTTCCTAGCCGGGCCCCCAGCCCAACTCTTTCCCCGCTCCCCGCTGCACAGCGCACCAGGTGGGGACTTCCAAGCCTTTTTAGTTGGGATGGCCGATGCACCCGGGCTTCTCAGTGCCAGCCGTGGCTGTGGTTCAGTGTAAAAATTTTACTTTGGAGCAAAGTGTGCAAAAGGCAGCGGTCTAATCCTGGCCGTGGCTGGGGCCGTGGCCCTATCTTCCTCTGCTCCCCACCTTTTGGACTTGGCTAAAAGGTGGTTAGTTCACAACGGATGCAGCGCATAATTGTGAGGCTTCCTACCTGAGAAGCCAAGTGTTTCATTCTGCTGCCCAAGAAGTCTAAAATGCCTTCTAGTTGGGGCCCTCCTGGAGTCACTTAGACCAAAGACTCTTTTTTGTGCCCCTTTCTAGCGGACATCTCCTCCCTCTGCACAGAGAAGTTGAAGAGTAGCCCTTTTCTTTCTCCAAGAAGTTATATGGCTATGCCTGCAAACTCCATTCCAAAGATTTTGGAGAGAGGACTAAACACCAGCCGTCTTAGAGTCTGGACAGGGATTGGGGGAGACCTTTGCTCTGAGAATAGCAGTCTCCGGTTTCTCTCATTTTTATTGGTCTTGGGCAGCTGGCAAGGCTAACCAGGAAGCACTGTCTCTCTGTATCCCCAAATCCTAAAGAGGATGAAGTAGATTGGGCCACTCGAGAAATCCTGCGTTTAGATAGGAGAGGTGACTTGGTATAGAAAATCTCTCTTGGTGGTGCAGGTCCAAGACTTATGTTCTACCACTGCATGAAAGAGGATGACTGCCATCACTGGGGCTCTGCTTCTGGGGGAAGGCAAAACACAGAGGTGACAACATTCTCTTCTCTCCTCCTCTGCCCTTGCTGAAAAGCAGGCTACAAGTCAGGTCCTTGTCCTGAGTTCACAAAGTCACTAAGAAACTTTAAGACAGGTATTTCTCCACCTGAGAGGACAAAGTGGCCAAATGCAAAGCACCAGTTGGAAGGAGGCATGGTTCTGTCTCTCTGTCCCCTTCCCATCTTGGTTACCATTCTCTCTTGTCGGCTGGAGAAGTGTAATTGGGTTGTAGGGACGCCCCACTCTGGGGAGCCCAGGATTTATGGATGGCAATTAAAGTTTTATGAATTGCAGCTGAGGCTGGTTATTGAGCTATTTGAATGTGATTAGAATTCAATTAGAAAGCGGTTAGTGGACGGTGGGTCTCCAGAGCGTAAACAGACAGCTATTCCAGAAATGTGCTAATCCAACATCTTGTGACAACAATTAAGGAGTCTCAGAGCCGAATGTGGGGCAGCTCAGCTGTAACTACTTTTGTACCATAAGGTTGGCTTGATGCAGCCTTTGCTACAGAGACACTGGGTCTCACCCCAGCCCACTCAGTCCAGCCCAACCCAGCCTGCCCTTACATTTGATGAGAGAATCCAGGAAGTCCCAAAAATCATTCTAGTCCCAGGAAAAAGATTTGGAGTTCAAAAGCTGAGGGAGCCTTTATGGCAGGGAATTTAAAAAGGAAAAAAAAGAAGAAGAAGAAGAAGAAGAAGTAGAAGAAGACCTAAATTGTTCAAATAGGTGACTTGATCCCCTAACCTCCTTTGATTCTTTGAGAGTCACAATTTTCTCTTTTCTCATCTGAGAAAGCCATGGTCTGCATGACACTATTCTCAGAGGTTTCAGGTGTGCTCACAGAAAGAACTCCTCTGCTAACATGTTAGAAGTTGTGCTTGCGTGCAGACCATTTTATTTAAAAGAATAATTAGGCAGAAGACTTGCATCTCATTCAGTTTACGTGTGACTATAGAAACATGCAGTTCCCAGTGCCAAAAAATTTTGAGAAAGGTGAAGGCCCTTGGGTTGCTAAAGGCTGCAAAGGGAGCTTCAGATCAGGCTGAGGCTGACAGCAGTACTGTGACTGAGACAGTTGACCTTTAGGGTGCTTGGTTAATAAGTGCTTGTGCCCAAGAGCAAGTATTTTGGAATTGTATCCCTTTGCATAGTCTCTATCCTCGTTCTTTTCTGCAGTCCTCTGATTTCTCAGTGTCTTTCTTCCTCCTTCTCCCTTCCTGTCTTGAATGCAGTCCACGTCTCCAGATCTACCCACTATGTACCCTCTTTGGCCCTGGTGAGAGCAGAGGGAACTCCATGCTCAGACTTCTCCTGAGAGGGACCAGACAGACCATGGGCGTGTGCCCAGGATGCTTGCGTGGCTGCACAATTTTATTTCTCAGTGATTCTGTTCGATAAAATTTCATTGTCCATTAAGTAATCCCCAAAATGAGAGCTCTTATGAGCCTATAATGAGCTCTAATTGCCACGACTTGGGGAGCCACGTGGAAGGATTTATTCGGTATTAAGCAGTCGGGTACAGAGTACGGGCTGTTACCTAAGCCATTACTTTCATAATTCAGGGAGAAAATTAGTTCTTTTAAGAAGAGGGGGAAATCCTTTGATTCCCACCCCACTTGCTCAAGATGAGAGAGGATGGCTTTGTCTTTTCTGAGTGCAAAAGAGTGTCACAAATACAAAGGTAACAAAATTGTTCTCTCCACTCCTGGGCAGGGCACCCCCTCACTATCAACTTAGGAAAACTCAAAGCAGTTCTTGAAAGAACATCGTCACCGCCTTCTGGCCTCTGAACACTCCAAATTCAGCCTGGGTGAGCAGTTTCGTTCTAGCTCACCCTTGAGATTTGAATCTTGGATGTAGGTTTCAAAAGGTCTTGCAGCACTGTATCCCTCCAGTGAGACAGAACCTGACCTGAACCCCACATTCCTCTGGCACTTCTTTTTTCTATTTCCTTTCTTGGGCAAAGTCAGGGAGAGTAAAGGGCAGAGACTTAGCGTTACTTATTCAATAGGCCCCAGAGTTCTGACCCCTTGATGTGCTTAGCCCCCCCTTTTTTTTCTAGGCAGTAACTCCCACTTTGCCCTCACTCTGCATTCCCCAAAGTACTCCCCCCTTTCCATCCCTGGTCCTTTTTTCTGTGCTTCAGCGTTTGCCCACGAGGTTCTCCTGCTTCCAACGGAGGCCTCCAAGCAGGGCGGGACAGCCCTGGAGTTGGCGGGGCCGCCTCGGATTTATTTGCTCCTCTTACATTGATTTCATATTAGTTTCCAAAGCGATGAATGATCTCAAAGCTGGGTTTTGTTAGCCGAACACAAACAGAAGACAGGACTTACTTGCCCCCAGCTCCCTTTAATGAGGTCATTATCAAAGCGTGAACAAGTCTATGAATGTTTTATTGAAAGCGCATCGTTAACTTGTATCCATCCTTTTCTCGGAGTGGCATTGTGATATTGCTGTCTGTGGCACATCTTACCCGATATAGCCCGAGATTTCCCCATTCTCTGTAACCAGGCAACCCTTTCTGAATACCCAAAAATTGAAAAGAACCGCTTAGTCTTCAAGAAAGTCCTCAATAATAGTGGAAAAGAACAAAGATCCAGGAGACAACAAAATGCCACAGGGGTGACTTTTCATGAGCAATTATCTCTCATTAATCAGAAGAACAGCTGCAATATTAATTTTCTCTCTTTCTTCCTCTCTTTTCACAGTCCCCAACATTTGAATAATCATAAATTTTGATTTTATGAAGGAGTCACATTTTCAGGGGCTGGAGAAAGCAGCTACCTAGGTGAAGACAAGGAGAAAATGCTCTCAATTTATTATTATTTTTTTGTTTGGTTAAAGCTGCCAACACAGCAAAATGAAAAAATATAAAAATAGAAAAGAAATGCCAGAGAAAACGCGCCCCCCCCCAACTTCTTTTAGAAGGCTGCTAAAAATCCGGACTCCTTTCCACCCCCTCCTTGCTACCAGCCCTCCCCCCTCTCTCCCCCTTCCCGCACCCATTCCCTAGTTCTGCTCTGAGCAGGGCGGAGTGAAATGTCCCGGGCGTCTGGCGTGGGAGTTTCAGCCGGGTTTCTGCCCGTTTAACTTGCAAACGTGAAGCCAAGCGTTGTCGATCTGACCAAAGAGACACTCTTTGGGCGTAACGTGCATTGTGGCCATCAAAAGCCCGCCAGCTTTGGATGAACTGAGACGTGCATTCAGCAGAAATGGGGCGCTCGCTTTCCTTTCAGGCACTGGAGAGGCGATTGTTCACAGGACGTGTACCCAGGGTGGAAAACGTGGGTCCCCAGATAAGGCTGTAACCTGTAAACGAGCTTGGGGAGTTAAAAGAATCTCATTAAAGCCGAGGCTGCAATTAGCAGGCACTCTCACAGAGAACCCAAGCTCCCCTTGAAAAGCTGTGGGTCGGATGAAAAGGGGCAGTTGGGAGCTACTCCCGACATTCCTGCGCTGGCGGAGTGATGGGGTGCTCAGGCCCCATCCGCCCCAATGGAGTTGCTTTTAATGCAAACCCTGGCATGGCCATTCCAGAGAGATACAGGTTACAGAGCCTGTGCTTACGTACCACCAAAAATGACCTTGCTTCTGCCTGTTGTTTATTCAGATCGGATGGGCCTTTGAGAATCTTGAATTCCCCTTTGTGCTCACCACAGTTGCAAGAGTTCAATTCAGCCCTCTGAGAAGAAAGGGTGTGTGGGGGGGGTCTTCTGGGAAAGAAGTGAGGGGTTTGACTCTGCATTTCAGGAAAAGCCCAGTTTCCCACTCTCCCGGCCCTCGGAACAGAATTTTGATGGCACTAAATGCCCACTACACAGTCCCTCTGTTCCCCACTTCATCTTCATTACTATTCGCCCACCCCCAAACCCACACGCCTAACCAGGCATCCTCTCCCACCCTCAAAGCTCCCCTCTGTCATTAGAATAAAATTTATTGAGCGCCTACTCTGTGCCCAGCGTGTGCTAGGC